GTTTTACTTTCTTCTCTTTCAAAAACCATAACCTTCATCTTACTTGCGTTTACTTTCATACCCCTTTCTTTTAATGATCTGTTCATTAATGTAACCATCATTTGCAACTCGGCCGCCGACGAGTTGAAAATGATGAAAGAGTGACAAAGAAAATTTATGTTGCAAAAGTGAATGGCAGAGTCGGAAAGGCATGTCCTAGGCGAAAATTTATCGACCAAATTGGCGATTTATTGAAAACGGGCCAAATTAGGAGTACCCTTAACCGATGAGCATGTATGCGTAGGTGTATGGATGTGAAGGAGGCGAGAGAGGTGTGTCAGGATCGTGCCAAATGGAAGTCTGTAGTCTCTGCCTACCCCTCTGGGTGACAGGCGTGAGTGTTTATGATATTTATGTTATATGTATCATATTATTTCATTGTCACTGAAGTTACGGTGTACAAAATATCAACTCAGTGAGTTATCGGGAATGGTTCAAATCTTACTCAAAATATGTGAACTTAACGCACATACCTACTACATAACAACCCACCCACATACCTACAAAAAATTAGTAAAAGCTTATATTAACAATAAAAAGGTATCAACACACCGTATAGTACCCTATTCTTATTAAAAAAAGGATCATACAATAAAATAAAGGTAAGGTGATCGAAGATCAAAGGTGATTTTGTTTTTTTTTTTTTTACTTTACATTAAAATATTCAAACTTTCAACTAACAAAACAAACAACGTGCATCGCACTGACCCTGAGATTGTCCACTGGCTGTGCCAGCGAAACCGTTTCTTTCCAGTCTCGCAGAGTACGCAACAAGCGGCCAGTGGTCACGAACACACGCCCCGCGTGCTTATAGTAGTGCACCCGATTCGCGCGGTTGTATGAAGCTTTATCTCTGTTCTGTGTATCTACTCATGTGCCTGGGCGACCGAGCTCGTCGTTAGGAAAAATATAGCGTTCTTATGGATGACACCTATAAATATAAAATTTAAAACTAATGTACTATATAATATTATAAATATGAATTAATAAGTCTAATAGCCATACTGAATCTATATTAATAGTATAGTTGTAGCACGAATGAATCGGCACGACCGGGGAAGGACCGCGCTCTCACAGAATACCAGCGTAAAATAGCAGCTTAACGCTGCTGTGTTTCCTAAAGTGTAGAGAACCGGAGACCCTTTTTACCGGAAACGAGGCATTATATCTTAGTCCTCACGGGTGACCATCTCCTTTTTGTTTCGTAATCGCGGATAGATGTGGATGTCTATGGACCGCAGCAACCACTTACCATCAGGTAGACTGTGTGCTCGTTTGTCACCCTTATCCTATAAAAAACGTTATCTTATTAAAAAAAGTCCCAAAGCGTTAGAACCATTTCCACGAAACCAATTTCATATATAAATTTTAATAGGCATTTAATTATGACATGGTAGAGCCACGCTGCAGCTCCATTATGTTTGTAGCACGAATAGGTTGGCTCAACCGAGAAAGGACCACGATCTAACAGAATACCAGTGTAAAATAGCAGCTTAATGCCGCTGTATCGTCATAAATCATCGTATGGTGAGTGTGGAGAACCGGAGACCATTTGTACTGGAAAGGAGGCATTCTATGTTAGTACTCAGGGGTGACAACGCACGTCTGTTGCGCAGATGTAATTGGAGGCCGTGGAGGAAGGCGTGCCATGTGTTCTGGTGCGCCTTACTTGGGAAGGAGAACGGGGAGGAATATTCCTCTCCCGATGAGGTGCTGCCATGGGGCGGCAGTCGCTGGTGGGGCCGCGGATGTGTGCGAAAGCGTTCCCGTAGCCCTGCCGATATGCGACGAAGGTGGAACACCATGGGGTTTTAGTCGGTGCGAGTCCGACATAACCCGTCCTTGCCCCCGCGAGGCGGGTATGCGTAGGCATTTCCCCATGTTAAAAAAAAGGGGTGACAACGCATCTTTTGATTCTTAATCAAGGATATATGTATATAGTATATACGACTGCCTCGTTGGTTTAGTGGCTGTTGTAGTGCGACTACTGGTTATGAGGTCCTGGGTTCGAATCCCGGGTCGGGTCATAAAAATCAATTATTGAGTTTTTCTGTCAAAATTCTCAGTAGCTGCCCGGAGTCAGGAAGTTGGCGGTGTCTCACCCCCGTGCCTCGGAAAGCACGTAAAGTCGTTGGTCCTGCGCCTGATCTCTCTCCGGTCGTGTCGGTTTACCGTCCCATCGGATTATGAGAGTGAGGGAATAGAGAGTGCACTTGTGCTTGCGCATACGCTTGGGCACTATAATCCCGTTCTACGCAGATGGCTAGCCTCCGTTGAGGCGGGCCGCCGTGGTCAAAGTTCGGTCTGGAGGACATTATTATGTCTATAGGCACAGTAGTTATTTACCATCAGGTGGAATGTGTGCTGGTTTTTTCATTGTTATTCTATTAAAAATGTAGGTATAAGAATTGCTTATTTAAATAGGATATTTACACGATATCTAATGTATTAGAATTATTTCCTTTTTTCAAAATAAAAAAATTGTGAGAATATAAAAATCCTTTTTTTTTCACAAATCGGAGTTGTCGACATATTCACGCGACATTTTAGTATGTTTATGCACAAATATGTATTTAGATAGTATTAACCGCATAAAATATGACCTCATTAATTGTTAAAAGTAATACAACGCATTCTAGAAAATGCTTGGGGAAATCTATAACAAGTACAAAGATACAATTTTATATTTTTAATTATAAGTAAAAAACGACCTTCTCAAACGAAAACAATGAAATCATTTCCACATAATAGCCCTACACTTTGCCTACCAGTACAATGCTACTCGAGAACCATGCTTCCCCATTAGTTGTCAGTTCTTCGAGTTACATGGCTGTCATTATAATGCTAATATAATGCTGCCGTATTATGCTTGGAGTTTAGAGAACCAGAGATTATTGACAATGATAACCAGACATTCGATCTTAGTCCTTAGCAGCGACAACTCATGTGCTTATTAATTTTTAATCCAGGATAGATAGACCCATCCAGGATAGATGGACTGTGAATTCCGCTTGTCACCTTTATTTTGTACTAAAATGCAAATTAAACAATACGCAACCACATTTGGCGTTGCTGGCAGAACCACAATATTGAGACATTATAAATTACCATACTTATAATTCGTTTTCTACTTTCATAGACATAAAATGATCTCTATTTATATTATTTGTACTTCTTACTGCAGATATATTAGAAAACACATATCAAACTTTTTTTAAACATATATACACTTAAGTGAAATAATCCACAAATTACTATACCAGTAGTTGGTTAGCCTTATCGCTAAACAGTGGTTGGTCCCTTTCAGGCAAATCTTGTTAAAAGGAGATCATTTTTTATTTAAACATGCCTATATTAAAGAAGTGTGCATAAACAGAATACAAATAAATAAGTACATATTATTAATACGTATCAGCTATACGAGTATATAGAATATAAGAACAAGAGAATGCGATAATCATATACATTTAAAAAGAACGTATTTATCGTACACATATATCTAAGAGCGTAGCATCAAAATGGGAAAAATTAGTTTTTATTTTAAAGAATCTTTGTTGGAGATGGTGTAATAATTATAATAAAACGTTTTTATTTGAACAGATATTGTATATTATATAAGCACCTTCACCATTTTATCAATGCTGTTGTCACAAGAAATAAAACTTATTATTACAAATATCACATTTATTTAATAAATATATAAACAGAGTCAAGATTTTGTCGACATTAATAAAATATCAACAATCGTATTATAATAATAAATAGGTAGTTAGATATAATATTTACTTCCTTAGTAATGTAGGGTAACAAAGACAGCACGTGTGTGAAAATTACATACGTGATCCAGATAAAGATGGCGGCGTAGGGCTCCCCGGTTTATATTTTGGAACCGCTGGTATTCCCCTGCTATGAAGGCAATCTAATTTATATACTTCAACGTCCACTTTAATTTATGTTAACTATTGGATCTATCACGTCAAATTATGTGAAAGCCGACTTTAAACCGTGATTAATACGCCAGACATGTCAAAACAATTTTTTAAAATATCTGATATTAGTTTCCGAAATCTGAAGCTTTTCCACATTCTTTTTAGTTTGGTTTTACTAATATCTGTTAATATATTTAGGGTACAATTAAGAATACGGCTTATTGCTTTGTATAAAACAATAAGGAAAAAAATAGGTTTGTATTATACATTATGTAATTTTCACAATAAACTCGAAACTATCGACTACCCTTATACCATAGTCCATCACGTCCATAGACTCGAAAAATATTACTGTCTTTCTGGGTTAGTCGTTTAAAGAGGCCAAAGTGCATCCTACTACGGAGTAAAAGGCTCCTTACGCTTCTAGAGTAGGAGAGAGACGCTGCATGTTTTTTTTGATTTTTAATAAGTACATATAGTTTTCCTCACCATATTTTATATTAAAATAAAAAAATAAGTACATATTTTGTGCAGTAATATTTCCTTTTTACTGTTACTAGAGCCTTTTTAACCAGTCTAAGCCAGGACTTGACTACTATCTGAGGAATAAACCTATGTGTACCTTATACTTCTTGATAGATAAATATGCTTCAATCTTAGTAGTGAGCAGGCTTGCTGAACATTTAGTCCCGTTACGAATCAAGGGTTGCCAAAACCATTTGTTGAGTTTATCTCCCAAAAAATTCTTAGTAGCGGGTTAGAGAGAGTACGTTAGAGATGTTGTACCCTCGTGCTACAAAAACACGTAAAGTCGTTGGTTCTGCGCCTGATCTCCTTATGATCGTCTTGGATTATCGTCCCATCAGACTATAAGACTGAGGGAATAGAGAGTGTACCTACCTGTTGGACACACACACTATAATCCTATTCCAGTCTAGTCTAGACGGCTAGTCTCCGTTGACCTAAATTCAGTATGGAGGACTTTATTAATTTCAAAGTGTATAGTATATTAATAGTAATTCTTCTTCTCAGGTTACCACACATAATTTCCACAATACTGATGCTGCTGCTGCTCAACTTGGTAAGTACCATATACATTGGGTGCGTTTGGCAGAAAAAAGCGCTAGCAAGCGCTTATAAGCGCTAAAATAGTTTTCGGCCAGGACACGATTGCTACTTCAGTAGCGCTGACACAATCCGCCATTTTGCTTATTTAATTTGTTTGTTTTGAAGTAGAGTTTATAAGTTGTTTTGTGCAATATTAATTTTAAGTAATATAATGACATGAATAAACATATACATGCTATTAAAAACTCATGATTGGTAAGTTTTTAATATGAATACTTTACAAACATATATTTAAATTAGGTTAGATTCCCCGGTTAAAACTAACATCGTGTCCTGGAGGAAAATAGCTACTTACGATTTGACAGCGCTTACCGCTTACGATCGCCATTTTGCTTACAAGCGCTTGCTAGCGCTTTTTTCTGCCGAACGCACCCAATATTGCATTATTGCACTATTTTATACATGGTAGAGCCAAGCTGCTGCCACATTATGGCTGCAGCTCGAATGGGTCAGTTCGAGCCGGGAAAGACCACGCGCTCACAGAATACCAGCGTCAAATAGCAGCAGAGATCCCTTTAACCGGTATTGATGCATTTCGTCTTAGGATTCAGGGGTGACAACGCATCAGCATTTTGACTCTTAATCAATTATAGATGTGGGTGTCTTTTTGCTACAAAATATGCTTATTATAAAATGGACAGTATGTTGGTTTGCCACCTTTCTATAAAAATGGCGACCGCCTTAAAAAGTACGAGCTATGAAGAGTTAGTGATTATTTGACACGTTCTATAATACTTGCACTAGAGCAGCGCGTCGGACTAACTGCTCGATAATCCTTTTAGAAATAAAGAGAGACAGCCTAGCAGTATACAGGGTTATTTTGCAATATACGCTTCAATTTGTAGAGAAGATTCAGAATAAGTACGAGGGTGGATTGAAAAGTACTCGGCCTAACCAAGAAAATAAGCACATACTAAATCAGTTATATTTTTATTTTTCTACATAATCACCATCAAGTTCAATACACTTTTGCCACCTCCTCTTCCAAGCATTTAGACCGTTGAAAAAAAATGATTCTTCCTTAGAGTCAAAATATGCGTCTACAGCTGCTTTGACCTCGTCGTTTGTCGAAAATCTTTGACCTCCCAAGTGCTTTTTTAGGTTAGGGAACAGAAAGAAGTCTGATGGTGCCAGATCAGGTGAATACGGCGGATGCGGTAACAGTTCAAAGCCACAGTTGTGAATTTCAGCCATTGACTGTACTGACGTGTGAACACGGGCGTTATCTTGATGAAACAGGACTTTTCTTCTGAGCATTCCTCGACGTTTTTCTTTTATTTCCTCTCGTAAACGACGTAGTAAGGTGCAGTAGTAATCAGAGTTTATAGTCTGACCCCTTTCAAGATAATCAATCATAATCACACCTTTCGAGTCCCAGAATACTGAAGCCATCACCTTATTTGCCGACAAAATCGACTTAGCCTTTTTAGGGGGTGGTGAACCAGGTCTTCTCCACTGTTTTGATTGTTGTTTTGTTTCCGGTGTACAGTAATGAACCCATGTTTCGTCCATAGTAACAAAACGATTCAAAAAATCATCTGCATCGGCTTCAAATAACTCCAAACAGTCGCGTGAAATAGTCAATCGCGTCCTTTTTTGTTCAACTGAAAGCAGTCGCGGAACCCACCTCGCAGACACCTTGTGGAAACCCAACTCGTTGACAATGATGTTTTGAGTTTGTTCATAAGAGATACCTATAATCTCGGCTATCTCTCTAATTTTTAATCTGCGGTCTCCCATTATTAAATCAAGTACTTTTTTAGTATTTTCGTCAGTAGTTGACGTCGAAGGCCTTCCAGAGCGGGGTTCATCTTTCACACTCTCTCTACCACGCTTAAATTCTGCTATCCATTTTTTGACGGATGAATATGACAGAGCACAATTGTCTAATGTACTGACCATGTCATCATGGATGGCTTTTGATGATAACCCCTTCTTATGGAGGTACTTAATGACGGCACGCTGCTCGATTTGCTCCATTCGCGGAAATTATGTCCGATTACTTTGTTAATAAATTTATAAAATCACAACTAATTATCGCACACGTTTCGAACTTCACACAATGAACTAGTCTGAACTGAACTAAATAATGTGGGTAGATTTGATTTTTAGAATTGAATGGATCTGTGTTAGGCCGAGTACTTTTCAATCCACCCTCGTAATATAGGCGAACGGTTAAGAAAAATTAATTCAAAAAACCTTAAACATTTTGTGCTTTTTATCTTTTAAATTCAGAATTCGTGGTAACGCATTATTCTAACTAATTGTCATTTATAAGGGTATGTTCCGAAACGTTTTCAGTATACTGCAGAATACAAATGATGTCATCAATTGACACTCACTATATTGCACTGGCGTGCCGCCGCCATATTGTGTCGGACATCCGGCTATAATAAAACAATTTTTAATTGTGTGTGCCCTGAATGAAGCATGCCAGAATTTGTTTTTATTTATTCAAATACAAAGACATATAGAATAATTGCTGGTATCTCCATTAGGAGGATATAATGATTTTTGGAGCAGAAAGTGACAAAATAATCGCCAACACTTTTCCAATATGGCGCAAATGTATGACGTCTTATACTTTCCTATGTTTTGGAACGAATCACCAGTATAGCGTCGATTCATGACGTCATATGCATTGGACAGTACACTGGGTTCTATTTTGGAACATACCCTAAATACCAAACGCCTACCATTTTGTTACACACGCACACACTTGTAAGGGTCGCCGGTTGGCAAAAAAATTGTAAATTGAATCGCACACATAGAAGCGCGCGGACGCGTAGTTGTTGCTTATAAATCACATTCAATTTGGGATACTTTCAAATAGAAGTAGAACTACTTTTTTACCTACCATTACTTTGAAAAATAACCCTGTATATTAATTACCTGCTCAAAAATTGTTGTCAAGATCGAAAGCTTCCTGGCCGGTGTAATATTTTTTATTACTCGCCTGTGGTAACTTTATACAAGATTTACCTGTGTAGACTACGTGTCATTGTATATTTAATTTGTTTTTAATCTACGTGGTAAAGCCACGCTGCAGCTGTGCTATGATTGTAACAGGAATGGATCGGCTCGACCCGAAAGGACCACGCTCTCACAGAATGCCAGGGTAAACTAGCAGCTTAATTCTGCCGTGTTTTGTATGGTGAGTTTAGAGAACCAGAGATTCTTTTAACTAGAAACAAGGCATTCCATCTTAGTTCTCAGGGATGACAATTCATATGTATTTTGATACTTAATCGATGATAGGTGTAGATGTCTATGGGTCACAGTGGTAAATTAAACAAAGAGTGGTAAATATTATTATTCAATAACTATCAGGTCCACCTGTGTGGACTGTGTGCTCCTTTGTCCCCTTGTTCGTAAAAAGGTGTCTATTTTTGCGGTATGATTTCTATTTTACTGAAACATTATAAGAGACGCTTGTGAAATAGAAAAAAATATCTAATTTATTCAATTTTATTCCAGATGAAAAAGATATGCAACCTATCATTTTCCCGGGTCCTATTGAAGGTGATGATTTAAAATATGGAACAGATGATGTTCCAGATGAATGCAAAGATAAAACATACTGCACTGTTAAGCCTCCTGACTATCCAGAAGAAATGTTCAATAAAATGTTCAAAGGCCTGGTGAGTATTTCTTTTTCATAAGAAATGACGTATAAAATGCGAAACTTCTGGTACTGTGGTCGCCAATCCGCCTGCCAAACGTGTAATTTTTTAAATCTACCCTGAAATGGGAATGATCTATGTTCAGTAGTACACTATTATAGGCTGAAGTAGAAGAAGAAGTTTCGTATAAGCTTCATCGTCCCAATATAGAGCTTAATGGAACCTTTTAACTCCGATAAAATTTCTGAACTTCTGTAATTAATCCTAGTACTAAAGTTCATCATCCCATTAAAGAGCTTAATGGAACCTTCTAGCTCCGATGTAATTCCTGAACCTCTGTAATTAATCCTAGTACTAAAGTTCATCATCCCATTATAGAGCTTAATGGAACCTTCTAACTCCGATAAAATTCCTGAACCTCTGTAATTAATCCTAGTACTTATATTTATACATTTTTACTTTGGATATGGTGATGATGATATTTTAAGACAATAAATACATATAACGTAGTTTCAAAGACAATCAATTATCGATCTAGAAAGAAAAAATTAATAAAAAGTTAAAACCCACTTACCACTTGAACTAAAAAATAATGAAATAATTTCCCTTTCTGAAGTAGGTGCTAATACATAGGATTAAGAGGAATTAAAGCCCTGACTTCCCGTCATCGATCTGGATATTTTACGCCTGTCATAGGGACAGCCGCTCATCTATCGGAAACTTGTATGATATATTTGATAACACTGAATACGCAAACGAACTTCTAGTCCACCTGCAGTCCAACTGTTGGTAAATGAATACTGCAGCCTATGGACAACTACAACCAACTTCAAACAAATAAGGCTAAAGATACATTGCCCTCTGAGGTCTAAGATGGAATGCTTTATAGCTTTTAACTATATTGACATTACACACTTGAGATTTGGTGGTAGAAATAGATAATAGGATTGTTGGTGGTAGGAATAGAGATTTATAAATATCAAAAAACTAAAACTGATTATGATAAAAAATGAAAAAACTTGATTTAGTATCGATATAGGCAAACTCTAAATATCCTAAAGATTCCTTTAAAAACAAACAAAAAAATTGTACTTTGAATTTGAATATTGTACCCATTATGATGTGATTTGTGTTTAATACATTCTAGAAAGCAGTTTCCCCACCATCCCTAGTTCTGGACTCGACAATTTCAAATCGTCAAGGAGATCCGGACGAAAGAGACGATTGCGAAAGTGAAGTAACGGTAATTACTTTCTATGTTTGGGAATTCTTTTTATATGTAACCAAACTTTTAATTTAATTTTTTTTGCTTCTACAACTACAACTATAGTTGTACAACTATAGTTAACTATAGTTGTATATAACTCAGTAATGATGACAATAACCTTATACGAGGATTCAAAGAATGACCTGTTTCCGACTCCAGAAACCTTAACTAGATATTTCCAAGATTTTATTTTTAACGCGTAGTGCGGAACTAATTTTCCTACGTAATACTTATTTTTTAGAAAGTGGAATATTGTCAGCTATTTTTGTAGGCATACGCGATATTTCAAACTCTATGCTATAAAATAGTAAGCGTCGAAAATTCTGTACATTGAGTATTTAAAATTAACTTTTATCTATTTTTAACATTGTTGCGTGTCTGACAGTTTGTTGCCTTATTAAGAGAACATGACTATAACGACTTCAACGATCTCTCGTTTCTTCCCCATCGTATGTCGGTTCTTCGTTTTATGTTGCTAGCCCATTGCCATTTCGGCTTACTAATCCGTCGGGCTATGTCGGTTTATCTGGTTTGACTGCGGGTGTTTGCGTTAAGGATTTTATTACATGGAGAAACTGCGAACTAAACCCTCTAAAGCTCCAGTAAAGGATGACGTCTCGGTTCCATAGGTACTAGCAACAGGCACTGTTTACACACTATCATTTAAAGTTTTTGTACAAGGCCTACCGCATCGACATGTGTCATAGTACAACGTTCATAGCCCAACTGATCTGAATCCATCGTGGATAACTTGTCCTTAATGTAAATCTCTCGCCAGCAACTTCGAATATAGTGCTCCCAACAACTAACGGCATAGGTGTAACATGGACGTTGCCCATGACTTTTTTCTTATATATGTTCACCTTAAGACCAAATCGTGGGGGAAACCATATTGAGCTCCACATTGAGCATAGTGCTAAGGTTTTATTTGAATTGAACGATTTTGTCACAATGACGTATTATAGATAATATCTTCGGGAAATCGTAGGTGAGTGATGTACTCGCCACTGATACTAATGCTTGAAAATGTTATCCAACGCAGCGGTAAAAAGTTTAAGCAATATAACCTCACCATGTCTCACACCTCTCTGCAGTTGGACAACTGTAGTAAACGTGTTTTCGAACCATCTAGCCCTACTGCATAATCACTTAGTACTTCGGTATACCGCCAGTCAACACGGAGCCGCTGAAAAGCCTGTAGTACCGCTAAAATTTATAAGGAATCAAAGGCTTTATAATATTAATAGTTAGGTCTTGTACATTTTACGACAATTTATACATATTTGTATTAACAATATTCAAGGAGGATTCAATAAAACTGTTCTTTGTTAAGAAAATTATAAAATTATGGTCAAAAGTTCGGAGCAAGTATTTGTATCTCATACAAATAGTTGTTCCGGGTCTGGATGTTTGTCCTTGTGCAATTTATGTACGTAAACTACGATACAGGAGAAAGTCCTAGTGTGGGGGTAACGTTTTTTAAAGAAAGAACAAAAAAGCAAAGAACAAAGTTGTAACAGATTTGTATAATACGCGTAAATAAATCTTTTGGAAGTAGTCAACTTTTATTCATTGCTTTAATTCTTATCTTATTGTTATTATACGAATAAAGGAATAAGTCGTGCCATCCATCAAAAATGATAAGTTTAAAGGCCGGAACGTTATATGACCTCTCGCAGATGATAAAACGTTCATATTACATTTAAAAATAGTAAAATGATCATCTTAAATTCTTGCAAGTGAACGCGAAAGGTTGTAGCACTGCTTGTAGCAATTATAGTTAAGAAATAGTTAAAATAACAAATATTATTTAATTTCAGTACGAACCTTTGTATAAAGTGCGCCCAAAGGAGGACGAACCGTGGCGAATTGTTGTTCAAGTACCAGAAGAAAACTATGTCCAAAGAGTTCGATTGGAGAGATGCACGTAAGTTGATTAGAATAATTACCACAGCCATCCATAAACCATAACAACCTAACAAATTCCAATGCTGAACATAGTCTCCCCTATAAATTACCTTAAAGAGGGGTTATTTAAAAAAATGAATGAGTAGTCTAATGGCGGATTCGAACCCACGACCTTTTTGAGTTCGCGGTCCGCGCCCTGCCATTAGGCTACTGTCGTTTTGTTACCATAGTTACCACGCTGGTCAAGCGAATTGGCTATTTTTTATTATAATTAAGTTGTTATCAGGAAGATACTGCTGTTTATGTTTCAATTTCCTTCACTATAACACCCTAAACGTCTTATCATCATCATCATCATCGTCATCCTTATCATCATCATCATTAGCACCTTCACAAACCTAAGGTAAATTTTCTAGTCCCTTACACATGTCTTTCTCAATAATTTAGGCATATACAAGTAGACAGTAATCGTCATAGTTAGTATCCACCTGATAGTAAGTAGATGCTGTGGCCCATAGACATCTATATTTATCCTCAAATAAAAATATGCAGATGCGTTGTCACCCTTGAATACTAAGATAGAATGCCTCGTTTCCAGTAAAATTGGCCTCCGGTTTTCTACACTCTCAATTTGAAACACAGCAGTACTAAGCTGCTTTTTTACGCTGGTATTCTATTAGAGCGTGATATTGAAAATCGTAATTATAGTTGCAGCATAGCTTTACCACTGCTTCAATCAACTTCTTTGAAGCAGAAACAGAAACTTTTTATTCAATATACATTATAAACATTACTTATTGAAAGTCACTTTTTTAATTTACCCCTTGTTCACCAGCAAGAAACACAGCGGGACTTACAATTATGTATGTTACAATTAACAACACATTAACAAATTCTAAATAGTTTGGTAGCGATCACCTTTCTCAGGGGTTATTATCATCCATAATTTGATTTATTTTTTGCATAGTTAGCACGTGTTCATTGACTTCACTGTACTTACCATCAGGTAGACCGTTAGCTCTGTGTCACTTTGATATTTAAACAATCTACTTAACTTCAGTTTTAGCTTTACACGTGCAGTTACAGCTAATACTAACAGCTTTGTTATCCCCCTGACCTACGTTTGCCAACATGCAGTCAGTTTCTTCTTTTTATCGATTGAGAATTCAAGTTCCCTTTTTTGGAATTCTGTACCATCAAAGCCGAAGAAGTCGCACAGCGCCTGTCGTTTTTTCCCCGACTATAAATCGTTTCTAAGGTTTTCCCTTAATTGTTACGTTGAACTGAATACTAAAAATCGGCCAACGATAAACTAATGCACTATGTTATTTTATAAAACCCATGCAAATAATTTAGTATGAGCAATAATTTAAATATGGCTAAGACATAGGTTTCCTTCGATTGTTTAACATAGGGCGGGATATAACTTATTGTGATCAGCCTTTTCACTTGTACTCGTATATGCTTACCGTTCCTCTCCAGAAGCCAGTCTCATCTGAACGCAGTGAACCGTGAAAAGTGATTGACCTACGAAGATCTATAGACCTACTTATATCATAAAATTCCATCCATGCAAAACTCCAAGTTTTGTAAACCGTAAAAAGGCCGATACGACGCACTTGCAGGTATTGACGGTGTGGAGGTATCGACTCGCGCTCACCTATTCTTCTATCCGGCTTTCCATTCTATTCTGGAGTATTACTGGTATAGCTTTTGTCCAAAAGTGGACTTAAAGGGTTTTATTTAAGCGTAGCTTTAAAATGAAAGCAATTATTTCGCCCCATCATACTCCCTTTCTTTTTAATTTTTCTTCTGAATTGTGAACATAGTAATTTCTTAAACAAAATTTCCATTGATATTATTGTCAATGAATTTTAAATAATCTCATTTTTCTTTTTTGGACAGGAACCCAGACGCACCATGCTTCAATATTTTTCCACCAACCTCAGACATCACGACTTTCTGCAAACAGAAATACAACAAATGGGAAGTGCTGGTAGCGAAAGGCGAAAATGAGACTGAGAAGATTAAGGTTGAACTACCAGTCTGCTGCTCTTGTCATTACAAATCAGCGCCTATAGAGACCAGGTTTGGCGTTATGAGTAACATGACCCCCATAAAGAAACCATAAAAGAGCAAAACATTTTCACCAGTAACTTAGTGTCATTTCCTAATGTTAAAAAAGTGCCTATACAAAATATCATTGCATTTACAGACTAAAACAAAGGATTCTTATGAAATTGTATTACTAAATTAATTTAATGGCGCATGATTGTATTTTGTTTTAAGTGATAGGATAAGTTGAAATTGTTATTAGATACTTATATTTTTCTTTATTTAGAAAATTAATTTCAATCTGACATTTTGAACGTGTTCACTCATATTTTAGATATTATATATATATCAAAAGTTTATATATATATATATATATATATATATATATATATATATATATATATATATATATATATTACATACATAAATACGCCTTTAATAATATCTAAAATAGTTTATCATGTGATGTTTTTTAATTATTATCAAAACATTTACAATTTTATTTAATAATGTACGTGTTTACATTTTTCTTATATCTTCTGATTTTGTAAAGATAGCATATAATCAGTAATCACTGTTCAAAGTTACAAATACTTCAGATTTAAAATTGCATTAATTAATCCAAGTTTTTTACATATTATCATTAATAAATAGTTAAGGACCATGCTACTTATTTATAATATTAGATTTCATTGAAGCTTTAATAATGATTTTATGATATTTTTGACTCAATATAATTATGCTAGTCAAGTGTGAATTTTTCGGAAATTAAAAAAAAAAACTTCAAACTGGTATTGTTTTTATTTTTAGATTATATTTAAATATTATTCGGATACTGTTACAGTTATCATTTAATATTTTATTTTATTCATGAGGAGGCAAAGGGACACGCGGCTCGCCTGATGGTAAGTGACTACCGCCGCCCATGTACTGCAGCACAAGGGGAATTGTAGTTACCGGTCTTTTAAAAAAGAGTAGGCTCTTTTCTTGAATGTCCCTAAGTTATTTTGGTTCTGAAAAATCACTGGTTATTGTAGATTTCACAAGGAAATATTGCGAAGAAGAAAAGTTCTGGAAAAACGATATGTGATGGTGAAATTTAGAAGCTGGAATTAGATCAAACAATTCCTCTGAGCACTCCCCGTAGAAACTGTGATAGAATATGCAAAGGGATGCGACATTTCTTCGCAGCGTCAGTGAGTCACAAACTCGGTCATCGACGATTCGAGCCGTTGTACGATGAGTGCGGTCAAGTAGAAGGAGCTGGTGCTGGGTTTCCACGGCTCAGAGATGAGAACAGTATTCGACGTCAGGCCGAACTTGCGCCTTATAAAGCCGAGCTTTTCAGAGGCCAATTAGGCCTTCCCATCCAAAGTGACCGCGGAACTGAACGTTATTATATTAGTTCGTTAGTAAATTTGGACGCCGAGGATTTCGATGCCGGCTGAGGCTGCGAGTGCCTTGAAATTGAGAAGATACAACAAATGGGTTCTTTTTAGCGTTAAAAATTCAAACTTTTGTCTTCTGGGAATTGAACTGGACTAGATTTAGTCGCTTTCAATCCGGGACCCTGAAAAGATAAAGACTTTAGATAAAAGTTTTTTCGGGACTCGACGACGTGTTTCCGAAAAATATTAGCACGACCGGTGTATGAAGCATCGTCAGTCATCGTCATGTATATGACAATGAATGATTTTTTTAAAAAATGAGCACATAGTCCACCTGATGTTAAGTGGTTGCTGTGGCCCGTAGACATCTACATCTTTCCTTGATTACGAATTAAAATGCAGATCCGTTGTCACCTGTAGGGACTAAGATGGAATGACTCGTTTCTAACAAAAAGGGTTTCCGGCTCTCCACACTCACCGTACGAAACACAGCAACTTTAAGCTGCTATTTTACGCTAGTATTCTGATACCAATTCGTGCTACAACTATACTACTAATATAGTTGCAATACGGCTTTACCACGTAAAAAGTTCCTAATATGCAACATATCGTTGATATACCGAAGGAACTGGGTAAGCAATAGCTCGAAGCCATATAGAACACTAGCATTTACTGGCTTGGAGTCGGAGCACGAGTCGTAGACCCCCTTAATGCTCTAATCTGAAAGAAAACTGTTGATGATCTTATATAATTTCTAGGGATGCCCATAATAAGGAAGCTTCGAACAAGGCGATTTGTGCCAAACCCTTTCGAATGCCTTCGCTATGTCGAAACAATCGCCTTCTTTGACACGATTGATAGGTGTGTTGGGTAAACAAAAAGATCATGAGCTGAGTGACCCTGACGGAAACCGTTCTGGGAGTCACTAATGTGCTAGTGCTCCTCAAAGTACCTGATGAGCTGGCAGTTAATAATGGTTTCCATTATTTTGGAGAAGAAGATGATGATGGCGATAGGCCTGTAGTTGTACGGTCAGATCAATTACATTTTTATGGATGGACCGTCCATGATATACTCGTAATAATATTAGAAAGGCTATAGTATACAGTAGTATACAGTAGTGTCCATCCATCCACTGCTGCCTATAAAGGTCCATAGCTGAATACAGTGCGCCCACATAGATTGCCTCATAGACGGGTTATTTTCCATAATTTCCACGATTGGCAAGCGGGTTGGCAATAACAGTTTTTTTTATTTTTAGTCGTCATTAGAAAGATGCTGCTGTCCACCTCCCGATTTGCTTCCCTCTGCAGCCTCTTACGACACCCACGGGATGATATGGGGTAGTGGATATTATTAAACGTAAGTTTAACTAAAAAGAAACTCTTTTATGAAATATATCATGGCTTGGAATAAAACTATTATTTACGGATTTTATCGCGTTTAATTACTTTAATTTATTTTTATTATTATCCCGACGTTTCGGGTGCTTTACAGCACCCATGGTCAGGGGGGGACTGAGATGTTTGACGTCCCAATGTCATAGTTAGTCCGGCTACCTTCAGTTTTTTTTTTAATATTAATTTTTGGTCCGATTTACGCAAAACGAGCTTATAGTATCATGAAGTCTTGCAGTGGTATGCTTGGGTTTGGGTTTAATTTTGTTAATTATAGGATCCCAAGCAGATGGTAGCACCCAACCATCTTCTCTATTGAAATTTGGATGTTTTTTAATTTCAATAGCCGGCTATAGCTATAGCTAGCTAGCTAATGTATGTATTTTGGTTAAGAGCCCTCTTACATTTCGACGTTACGCAAATTTAGGTATTTTACGCACCGAGCGGGTGGCGAACTACGTGAGCGATACTTTCTTTCAAATCTATTCACTCGCCCGCACTATGATGATGTGAGTATAGCGACTAAACGATCTTGATCTTCCATAATACAATTTTTCTTAGGATGTAGTTCAGTGGATTGAAAATTTTTGGTGTGTAATTTTTATGTTATCTAATTAATTTATTATAATCTATTTTAATATATTTTTCATTATTTATGAATCATAAGTACACATAATACATAATATAATATATAATAAATAAATAGTACGGTTGCAACCTGCTTCAATAAATAAAACAATCAAATGTAACATTTGTTTATAATCAGCGCTTACAGTCAATTTTTATACCATAACCATATTTCTTATTATAAAAATATTTGTCGCAACGGTATTGACCGAGCTTATCTCGTGTTGATGATTTCAGGCGAAGATGTTAGGGCTTGTATCGAAGCTTTTTCGGTCGTTAATTCAATTATGCAGAGTTTTCCCCCCCCCTACTTTTTTACCTTTTTGATGATCGATATCCAATAGAATCTACAAATTAGAACTCTCAAATCATGCCTCTGAGAGTTTTGACCTAAACATGCCTCGGGAGAATTATTATTACTAAATAATTAAATAAGTTATCTAAAATTTGCTCTGAGCTTCTTGTAGTAGAGAAATTGAATTATTTTTCCAAGTAATTGTTATTTCAAGCAACGAACGAAAAACACACAATTTCAACGAGGAAACCTTGTAATTTCGCGTTCTTTGTAATACTCACTTCGGAGTCGTCACTCCATTTAGTAGGGGGTCGCCCTACACTACGCCTACCGGTACGAGGCTGCCACTCGAGAACCTTTCTTCCCCCTCGGTTATCGGTTCTTCGAGCCATATGGCCGGCCCATTGCCACTTCAGCTTACTAATCCGTTGGGCTACGTCGGTCACTCTGGTTTTACTGCGGATATCCTCATTTCTGAGTCTATCACGCAGAGAAACTCCGAGCATAGCCCTCTCCATAGCTCGCTGAGCGACCTTGAGCGTCCTCATACGGCCAGCGGTGAAGGACCACGTCTCTGATCCGTAAGTCATCACTGGCAACACGCACTGGTTGTACACTTTAGTTTTCAGAGATTGAGGTATACCTGACAGACAGAAGATGTGTCGTAATTTCCCGAACGCTGCCCAGCCGAGTTGAATCCGTCGATTGACCTCTCGGTCGAAGTTGGACCTACTTTACTAGTCGGACTATTTGTCCCAGGTAAACGTACTCGTCAACAACTTCGAGCATATTGCTTCCCACAACTACCGGCATAGGTGTGACATGGACATTGAACATAATCTTTGTTTTGTCCATGTTCATCTTAAGACCTATCCGTTGGGAGACACCATTGAGGTTATTGAGCATAGTGCTAAGGTCCTCCAGCGATTCTGCCATAAGGACTATATCGTCGGCAAATCGAAGGTGAGTCATGTACTCGCCATTGATGTTAATACCGTATCCTTTCCAGTCCAGTAGCTTGAAAACGTTTTCCAATGCAGCGGTGAAGAGTTTCGGGGAAATAACGTCACCCTGTCTTACACCTCTCTGCAGTTGGATGGTTTCGTACTCTGGTTCTGTACTCGGATAGCCATCGTAGCCCTACTGTACAAACACTTCAGCACCTCGATATACCGACAGTCAACTTGGCACCGCTGAAGGGACTGTAGCACCGCCCAAATTTCGACGGAATCAAAGGTTTTCTCATAGTCCACATACGCCAGGCAAAGTGGCAGATTAAAGTTATTTATATTTGAAAATTCTAATGTACATTTTTTAGTTTTTGTTATTTCATTTTAGTAGATAGTAATAAATTCTATACTAACAAATT